CCTCTGAGCACCTCCACCTGACCCTCTGAGCGCCTCCACCTGACCCTCTGAGCGCCTCCACCTGAGCGCCTCCACCTGACTGCTGGTCACCACCCGTCTCACAGCGGTACCGAGGAGCTCCGTGTCAGAACCTGATGAGACCAAACGTTTGTTTTTGGTGGATTTCTGAATGAGACACTGAATGAAGTGATTCTGATGAAGCATCCCGGTTAAAGGTCCGGTTTGGTTTGTTTCCCAACAGAACAGAACTTCAGAACTCCCCCAGTTCTTTGTGTTTTTAGTGTTTGTGGTGGATAAATGGGGTCAACGTGTTTCTTTTCAGGATAAAGTTTCCAAGCAGCTGCTGAGCTCAGAGGCTTCATGTGGACGTTGTTCATGTCCTCAGCTGTAGACCTGCAGCTTTCAGCGCTGATCACATTAAATGGACCGGTTCTGGTGCTGTCTGACACTTTCTAAAGTTTTGTTGTGATGGAACAGCGAGTAGCTTCAGCTGCAGATGAGTCGTTTGTCCTGTTTATGGAAACTGAAAAGACAGTAATGAGCCATTTAATAATCACATGACGGCGTCCATTTAGTGTCTCTGCTTTCAGTCTGACTCATGAGCTTCTTCAGCAGCTTCTTCTGCTCTGACCTTATGTGGACCCAGTTCTGTAGCAGTCAGGATGTGATGAGCAGAGGATGGTCTGACCCGGTGCATTGAGCAGCTGGTCCTGAGCTCTCATCATGAACGTGTGGTCTTCACAGTCTGGGCCTGTGCTCTGATGTCGTGCTGTGTGTCTGATCGAGATCGTTTGTTTAGTTGTGTTGCTGCTCCAGAGCTCTGAACAAGTCAACGTTTGACCACCACCATGTCAGTGAAGTCGTCCTGGTTCTGATCCGCTCAAACAGTGCTCAGGTTCAGAGTGGTGCTGCAGCAGAACCACAGTATTGTAGTAGAAGTGTTTCAGGTGTGGGCTTTACGCCTGTACTTGGTGTTTGTTCATGAAGGCTGGAGGTGAGTCAGCGCCGACTCGGCCCGTTTAGAACCAGCTCACTACAGACTGGCTGGTTCATTGCTAACCAGTTAAACCAGTAACAGCAGCAGGCGACGGGCTGGTTTAAAGCTGCACACACTCTCACACCGAACCTTCAGCTCATTTTAGGTCCAGTTGTTGTTGTTGTTGTTGTTGTTGTTGTTGTTGTTTACGGTGGAATCTAAAGGTGATGTCAGGACTCGTGTGTCGGACTCCAGTTACGTCAGACGTGTTTCTGGTGATTCTTGTCTCACCAACACGGTTCCTGTTGACGGTCAGTGGGACTCTGTTGGAGACGTTCAGCCGGATCTCCACTGTTTATTTGTTTATTCTTCCTCCCACAGTCCAGAAACATGCTGAGGTTAATTGGTGATTGTAAATTGTCCGTAGGTGTGAATGTGAGTGTGCTTGGTTGTCTGTCTCTAAGTGTAGCCCTGTGATAGACTGGTTACCTGTCCAGGTGAACCTGCCTTCACCCTGAGTCAGCTGGGATAGGCTCCGCCCCCTGACCCCTGGTGAGGGTGAAGGTGTAGAGATGATGGATGGATGATGGGCTTCGCTGTGTTTTCTTGTTGTCACTGAACGAGTACAGTACTGAAACAGGAACGTATTGTACGGTTTCTACTCAGATTGTTGGTGGTTCTGTCTTGATGCTGATCCGTGAGCTCCAGACGTTCCCTCAGCACACAGACATGCAGGTCTAGTCAGTGCCAGGCCGACCCGGTGGTGGAGACGTGCAGCAGAAAGAGGACCTTCCTGGGTCATGCTGTGGGCCAGAGGCGCTGATTAACGGGTTTTATGGGCTTTTATGTGTCCTGTCGCCTGGTTTCATTTGAATAGCAGCTTTTATTTAGAAGCCAGAGATGTTGTGTGTTGGAGGCAGCTGGAGCAGCAGACAGACCAACATCAATGATTCAGGTTTAATTACCTCCGAACGCCGCCGCCGCCGCCGCTGCTGCTATAAATACTCGACCTCAGCGTGCAGCTTTAATGTGCAGCAGATCGATCGCTGCACAAACTGTGACTGTTGTGTAAAAATAGCTCATCTGTGTGAGAGACTCCATCATTACAAACTCCTGAATGTTTAATGAAAGCATCTCGGCGAGTTCCTGCGTGTCGCCGCTGACTGTCCACGAGCAGCTGATCACCGAGTCTACAAACACATATGTGTTTGTTTAGAGGCGGCAGGACGTCGCAGACAGACGGAGCTCAGCAGGAAACCTCCCATCTGCCGACAGCGAGCAGCAGGTCCGAACCACGAGCTGCTGTAGAACAGAACAACGCTGGTCCAGACCAGCAGCAGGTCAGCCTGAGGCCTCCAGGTCCGGTCTAGTCTGGTTCAGCTCATCAGGGCCACTACATGAGCTTAAGGACTGATGTCTTCTGAATGCTGCTCCTCAGGGTGTTTAAAGAATAGTCCAGGTCAGCGTGGGAACAAGGAGCTAGAAGGTTCCTTCACTGGCCGGGTTTCCACTGTAGTTTGAAGATCCGTCAGATCCATCAGTGGACCATCCAAGATGACCTGTGTGTCATCAATGTGAAGGTCTGTAGCAACAGGACCAGACCTAAGATGGAGCTTCTTGTTCCTGCAGGATGTTCTCCTCTCGGTTCTATGTGAGAGCGCTCTGCTGCGCCTCCATGTGGCTGTGTTTCTGAGTTCTGGTCCAGTCAGCCGGTCCCTGAACCTTCAGAAGCCTGAGGGCAGGAACTGAGCTGTGACAGGAGGCTGGAGATGTTTTGTCAGAACCTCACTACAAACCAGCTGCACTTTTCTTTTCAGGTTCTGGAGACTCTCGGATGAGAGTGAAACATCTCCAAGACGTTCTAATGGACCAACCAATCAAACGATTAGACTAACTAGTTGGTTAATGGAGTCAGCAGTCCTGGTTCTGAACCTGCAGCGTGTCATCAGCTCGTCTCAACCCATCA